CGGCCCCTCCGCCTCCCCTCCACCCGCCTCCCCTCCCTTTCAGCTCCGAAAAAGGATCACTCCCCGTTACATAATGGGATGAGCAACACAGGGATGTGGGCTTGCACACACAGTGGCCTCCTTTTTACTTAACAATACCTTTTTCGGTCATACAGCCTTCCTCTCCCCGGTTGCCATTAAATTGATAGTCAGGGGAGATGCATAGCGCCTGGCTCCAGCTATTTCAGCTACAGAGAAGAGGGGAAAGAGGAGCGGGGTGGGATCCTCCATGCAGAGAACGGTGATTGGAACAGGGCAGGGAGGTCCCATAATCAGCAACAGTGTGGTCACAGCAATCGCTTGATGTCACCGCAGGGGATGCGGCAGGAGAAAGTCCCCAAAGGAGAAGGGGACTCGCTCTCCAGAGAAGCTGGATCTTTTTCTTGAATTTTTTCTGTTGATTCTTCCACTCTGACATGAGGTACGCTCGCTGCAGAGCGGCAGCAATGCCCAAGAAGGCAGCTGCAAGAAGGCTGCAGGAGCAGCACACTACTCACCAAATACGAGCTGGTAGAGGAGTATCCAGCAGCAACCCCCTTCCTAACACCCAAAACACTGCCAGGACACCTCATTTCCACCACCCATCACCTAATCCAGCTACTGACAGGAACAGCGAAGGGCCTCATCTCTTGAAGGGATGATACCTTCTCACACTTTGTGACCAACAACGGTCAGAGATGAGATGCGTGCCCATCTGCTGCCCCGTGTTTGTCCGCCTGTTCTTAGAGGCGGGAGCAACGATGCCTTGAATAGCACATGCTCCCAGAACAGCTTCTGGTATTTTCTCCACCTGTAAAGGGTACCCAGACGCAGTGCCAGCCAGAATGCCAGTGCCAGGGCTGCACTAGGTCTGGCTGAGCAGTGATCAAGTTGCAAATACTTTAATGGGAGAGAAATGCCACCAAATCCAGGCCGCTGGCAGAAGCTCTGAGCTAGAGTCTTCTTGATCCGCTCAGGAGAGCAGTGGCTACCTGGGCTAGCCAGGAGTACAAGGAGTCTCAGCCACCCTTCTGCATGGCTCAGGGACAGGGTGCAATGGCAAGCCAGCACGGAGCCTCCCCATTCCCAATTCTGTTCCATTGTGGAGGTAACCACGTGCTTCATCTTGAACGTCCATCTCAGGCATTGTCTGAACTCTTGCTCTTGTATCGGATCACAGCTTTCACGACAGGCAGATCCTGACTGCTCCGAGGGCAGTTCTCGTGCCCACTGCAGTATCCTGCTGAGCCCCAGCCCTCCACATGGACTTCCAGAATCACTAAAAACCTGCCATCCTTGATTCAAGATAGGAGAACCTCTGCCCTAACACTCCTTTTCAGGAAACCAAAGCGCTGTCCTAAGCATGGCCTTCTGGGTTGGGGTGGTGACGACAGCAGCAAAAACAGGGGAGGAAAATGAGCAACACCAGGAGAAAAAAAAAATAATAATCTATGAGCGACACCATCCTCCCAGCAACAGGTCAGTTCACACTGTAATTCTTGCCCTGTTCCCTTCACACCAGACTCCTGACTGTTCCAGAACAAGAGCAAAGCCAGCGTCAACACACGGATTTCGGCATGGACACGTACAGTCCCAGGGACACCGGGTTAGTTCAAAAGGTTGTATTTGCACCCTGTCCTGATCACCACACCCAGGAGTCACGGGACTTCTCAACATCACCTCCTGCATCACCAAAGGTTTGCCTGCAGCACACGTGTGTTCACCCAGATCCATTGAAGTGGAGCGCCTACAAACACATTCACCCTCACGCTGCTCCTCTAGCACAACTTTTGGAGCTCCTTCTCCTTCCTGAGCCATGCACGTGCTGTGTGTACGACTGCTTCTCTAGTGGAAAATACCAATGCCATGTATCGGTGCCGCAGGCTCCCCGAGTGACTGCGACACAACTTATTAGGAGGTGATGACGTGCCTATTCAAGCTCTCATACTTCTGTGCTTACACACCAGGATTGGGTTCCAGCTCATTCCCCAAGAGACGAGAGCCCATTTTGGAGAAATAGGAGCAACACCCACCTCCTCCCACCCAAGGAAACAGACTCGGGAGTGATGGCCAGCAGCCCCTGACCTCAAAGCGCTTCAGCAACCTCTGCTGAGGGCAGCTTAAATTACCGGCTCGGTTATCATGTGCTGCCCTGCACATTCTGACACTGGCCTGGAATGCCTGTGAGAGAAGAAAGGGCGCAGGAGCGGGAAAAGCACTGCTCCGAGACTCCCTCTAGCCAAAGTCCTTCCAGGAAGGCTTTCCTTTTACTCTGAAGGACCATAACCTTAGCGAGTGATAGTCACCGACCTCCACAAGAAAACAGAAATGCTCTCTGTTTGTGTGTCTTGGCCTACTGCCTTACCACACAGAGGCACTGGCCCCAGAAAAGCTTGGCAAGTACATACCAGCTGGAAAGGAAGCCTTTCCCTAATACATCTGTGGGTCACTGCCCAAGGCACAGGCACTACTGGCCCACCGCAGATGAGAGGGAGGTGCACCGGTGAGAGCAAGGGCCCTGGGAGGCCGCACTGCAGGCTATTACTTGACAGGTCACTGTTCCCTGTGCCTGTTTATTCTCCTGTTCTAGAAAGAACAAGCTGAACCCGTGGGCAGCAAGAGACCAGGAGGCCAGCAGAGACCACTCTCTCCCTGGACAGCCAAGGAACTGGGCACTCTTGCCCTTTCATGAGGCAAGAAGCCTCCCATTCCCAGGGCCGGATCATAGAATGGTTTGGGTTGAAAGCGACCTCAAAGTTCCATCCCCCCTGCCATGGGCAGGGACACCTTCCACCAGACCAGGTTGCTCCAAGCCCCATCCAACCTGGCCTTGAACACTGCCAGGGATGGGGCAGCCACAGCTTCTCTGGGCAACTTCTGCCACCGCCTCACCACCTTCACCGAGAAGACTTTCTTCTCAATATTTCATCTAAATCTTCCCTCTTCCAGTTTAAAGCCGTTGTCCCTTGTCCTATCACTCCCTGCCCTTGCAACAAGTCCCTCCCCAGCTTTCTTGTCGGCCCCTTTAGGTACTGGAAGGCTGCTCTAAGGTCTTCCTGGAGCCTTCTCTTCTCCAGGCTGATCCTTCAGAAATCGGGAAAGGATCCTTCCTTTCCCCTGTTGTTAAAGGACAGGAGGTCACCTGCTAGAGTTACACTGCTGTTCATGGGGAAAACAGCTCCTAGCGCAAATCTCCGAGGTGTTTACTATACATGTGTGACATCTTTACAGAACCTTGTAGTCTGACGCGACGGAACGCATTTTTCTGCATTCAGGCAAGAGCTCTATTTTAGACTGTAACTCCAAAGGCAATGCCACCCCACAGAGCTGTGAGGTTGGTCACTGAGGCCTTACCTTTGAACGAGGGTCCCAAAGAACAGGTGGAAGACCTTCTGGATGTTCTCCGTGCACAGCCAGCTCCAGTGATCCATCAGCAGTAGACGAAGCACGTCCAGAGCCAGGTCAGCCAAAGCTGTCTCAGAGTCTGCCAGGAGGAACAGAAGGGTCAGATAAAGGCGGCAACTCAGCCCCTAAGCAAACCCAGTGGAAAGCATCATCCGAAACTCACTCTTTTCCCCATCAGCCTGCTTGATGCTCTTCTCCCCAGCCTAGCACCTTGTGCCACACACAGATGACCTGCTACGGCACAGCTAGCCTGGGGAACCTGCCTCCCAGGCTCCTGCCCCAATCACTCTCTTTTCCATTTTCATCCAAGTAGTCCCAACCTCCCTACCAAGGGGTGCACCAGACCGGAATGTGGCTGCTCCGAGCGCTCAGTTCCTTCTCAGCTCAGCTGAGGGATTATCAAACCCCAATGCAGGCACGGGGACAGCAGCGTGCCCAAAACAGGTGAAAAAGAAGGCAGTGACTGTAGCCAGGAGAACGGTACATTGCTGAGGACTATTTTCCTCCTCTTCACCAAAATTTTCCCCTCTTCCAACGTTTTCCAGGCAGAACACTCCGGTCGGTGTCTGCAGGCTGCCATCGTGTGGCAAGTCCAAGTCTCAGTAAGAAGACAGATGAACCACATCTGGATAAACCAGATGCATCAGTTAAAACAAAACCCCACATATCCCTGGTGACACAGATCCGGAACAGCAAAACCTCTCTCTGATCCTCAGGAGGATGTCAAAGCCTACAGCGTAAACACATTCTACTTGCTAGACAATTACCTTCATGTTGCTTGGCCCCAAAGTATCATAGGTGTTATGCTGAACAAGCTTATTAATGTACCACAAACCTGCCCGAGACAACGACTCCTAGGCCAGCGTCCCAACCTGAGGCTACCGCATCAGCTCTGTTGGCAGAGTGAGCTCCTGTACAGCAGCTTCCCCTACTCTGACCTTCCCCGACACCTGATCTTTCAATCGCTCTGTCTACAGAGAGCCAACGAGACTGTTCAAACATCATTTACTGCTGGAGATAAAGGGGAAAGATTCTGGACTCCAGCACCTCTCCTTCCCTCCTCTTCCTCTCCTTGCTGCATACGGGCTACACTAATTAACTCCAGGTCATTTCACTTGGAAATGACAGGGCAGGAGTGCATTTAGCATCTCTTGCTCTGGGCCATGCCCAAGTTACTCCTCGCTTGCTTTGCCCTTTGAGACTTGACTTCCTGGTGCAAAAAGCGGAGCAGGCTGTTTAGCTTCACTGTAACCCCAAACAAAGAGCACCATCAGCAAGCTCTGTTTATTCCTGTAGCATCCAAGTGCCCTTCCTCAGAGAGCTGCTGGCCAACCTCTTCCGAGAAGTCATTCAGTGAGCCGATACGGACACTGGTTGCCTTTTTAGCCAGCCGCTCCCTAGACGTTCATTCCCCTTACCCTGCCAGACCAGCCTGCCCTGTCTCGGCTCTGAAGCATCACAGACCTGCAGACATTTGACATAATTCACATTAAATTTCCTTAAGAGTTCAGCTAACTTGGCCTGCCGCTATCTCTTGTGCTCTCTGCGGAGCACTGGCCTCCAATTCCAGTCCTGCTCCCCAGCAGCCCCAAAACAACGGCGGGCGTGTGTTCAAAGATTATAGGCAAAGCTGGTAGCACAGGCTAGGTTTCAGGATACCAGACCCATCCTGTCAGAAGCACGTGCTTTCTGTCAGAGCTTGCCAAAGCTGAACCACTGGAGTGAAATTTTTGGAAAGTTCCAGCTGATACAGCTCAGCTATTCCAAGAAAAAGATTAGAGAACATATTCTTGCTCGCGTTCAGGATAATCTTGTAACCGCTCCCAGAGGCTGTAGCACCCCTGTGCTTCAGAGGGGGGGATCTAAAATCAGAAAGGGAACATCATTCCTTGAACGGGGATTACATATTTGCTATTCCCACCAAATCTATCCAAACTCAACTGAACCTCAAAAGGTCCTTTTACAGTGCATGGACATATGAAGGCTAACTTGAGCCTACCAAGAAACCCTAATTTGGCCATTTTTCAGTTTCTAAGAGCTTTTATAACATTGGCAGTTTAAGTAGTGTGTCCTTAAGAAACTTATTTCTGCAATAACTGTACTGAGTACACCAAGGTGAAGATCCACAGTGACAGAACTGAGCCGAGACTCAATTTGCTTCCACTAGCAATAAAGACCAGAGCAGTCACCCAACAAGACTGGAAAAACTCAGTTCGCTTTCCCTTTAATCAAGGTGCAACAGGCAGGAAACCAGATCTTCATACTGAAGACCTTGCCAGCTGAGCCCACAGGTGTTGGAGCTGTTGCAGTACCACAGGAGATATGCTAAAGGACTAACAGAGAGGCTGAGCTCACCAGAGTCTGTGTCCGGACGTGCCTCCCGCTCCGATGTGCCCAGCCTGTCCATATCTTCCTGCATGGAGCTTTCCTTAGCTTCTCTGCCTCCCTCGTCTTCGGGAGCTTTGCTGCGGACCGCTTCCAGCAGCTTCTCCTGCTTCTGGATGAAGGACTCCATAGCAGCCAGCGACAGGGTGCCAGAGACCTACAAAAGCACCGGTGTATTAGTACCACAGCGGCGAGCTGCACGCAGTCAGAGTTGAAAGGATAAATGAGATCTCCACTGCCCAGCCAGCCTCCCACCACCTGGTTTGCACCTTTCTGTAGCCAGCAGCAGAACTAAGGCTGCTTATCGCCCTTCTGGAAAGATGTGGCACGTGGGAACAAGGCTGCAGCAGCCACAATGCTCGTGCACATGGGTTATTCCAAGCAAGCACTCAAACAGGGCAATGATTAGGATTATGAAAGGATTGCAAGAGGGATCTGAACTTACAGCGCTGCCCTCCCTGACAGAGTACATGATCCTGTCATGTGCTTCACTCGCACTCAGCACTGGAGTAATTTTACTGGATGAGAACCGCAGCCTGGACCTGAAGAGAAGAGACACGGCACTGTCAGGGTTTTCTCCTGCGAGTAATGAGTTTCCCGATCCCAGCAAAGAACCAGGACCAGCTATCTTTGTCCAGTGCCACATCCAAGCTAAGAAGCCTGATTAGACCTAAAATGGTTCAAAAAAAAGCATCTGCTCCCAGGATAACTAAGAGGTGGCAGTAAAACCACGCACCAAAAGCATTAAAGCATTTTTCCACAGCTACACAGGGGCCTAGCCAAGGCTTTCCAACATCCACCACATACATACACCTTCTTTGGCAGGTACGTTACATATAAACTCACTAGCAGATGTAGGCATTTCTGTTCAGCAAGGTGTAAGCAGTAGAGCAGACGCAGAAAGTGTTCAGAAAATCCTCTGACATGAAACATACTCAGCCGGATTGTGAAATCCGATTATAAACACACACACAAAGGAGGATGTGAAAGGGCATTTGCGATTGTGGGACAAATTGTAAAATAGCCTGTTTATCTTTAAGGAATGCCCTTTTCAGCCAACATTCTTCAGAACTTGTACTTTTTTGGTTTGTCTTTTTGTCCAAAGCAGCTTTTTCTAGCAAAACATCTCTTTTCTGGAAAAAAAAAAGTCATACTTGTGCAGAAACCTGCCCTTCTTCTGCGAGGGAAGAATCACTAATGAGCACAATGGGGCTCGTCACTGCCAGCAACACCAAATAAACGCTTGGCGAGCAACGCACGTTTAATGACCTTAAACACTACACCTAAATAAATATTCAAATGTTTGCTGGGCAAGGTGGCATGCCACTGTGTTAAACACATGGGAGAAGGAGTAAACCTGCAGGTAGACAAGTTATAGTTGTATTTTGCAGTGACTCACCACATATATGGGTCATGCACGTGTTCAAGGTTAAAAAGCAATTCTCCAGGAGCATTAACATCTTTGCCGGCAAATGCCACCACCTCACAGCTCCCTCAGGAGGAAACCCATCTTCTGTGAAAACCTAAGCATTCTTAGAAACTCCTTTATCCAAACAGAAACTCAAATACCCTTGCTCAGTATGTGAGAGAGAAAGGAATTCAGCTACAGTACAACAGCAATGTATTATCCACAACAGGTAAAGCACCAAGTCAGTATTTCCCCGGAGCAGAGTCAGTTTATGTACGAAATCCATGTTCTGCATAAAGCACAGGGGAAGCTGAAGAAGCCCTTACTTGTTCGCCTTCTTCCCGTCTGTCTGAGATTTCCCATCCACTTCAGACTCGCTAAGATCCTCCGTGGGGCTCTGGGGCTCTGACCTGGGGAATGCCGTCTTCAAGGTGTCCACAATAGCATTGACAACAATCTGCAAAAGCCAGCAGTGCCACCCATTATTGCATACATTCCTCTTCCTTGAATATAAATTAGAGTTTTCAGACTTGCGCTCTCTCTATTTGCTGTGATAACCCTCAGCCTCTTTCGGATGGGCTCTGACTCTTCCTAGCTTTATGGTTTTCTAGGCAAGCTGAGCCCAGCTACACCAAAAGCGTTTGAGTTTACTGGCTACTACCGCAGCAGCTATATAAGTAGATATCGAAGCCCAAGAGGCATGTCTAGGTGCAGCTGTAAGTGGTTCAGATAATGGGTTTCCCACTTGTCTACCTTGTCTATCCTGGAGACAACGAAGGGCTTCTTGACGAACGCGATCCTGGCGTCGGTGTTCAGGGCGAGGAACTCCTGAACCTCCTCACTGTTTGCAATCTCAGGGACCGCACACAATTGCTGCAAGGGAAGATGTAGCTTTAGGTCTTTTTTGAGTCAACTTCCCAGCTTGATCAGGTAAAGCGCAGGCAGAATAGATCTGATGTGCTCCGCTGTCAGTACAGAGCTGTCCCAAACACTGCTTTCTAGCTCACAGGGGCACATGAGCAAGTATCTCACCTTCAAGAAAGGTTCTAACAGACTTTTTCTGGCTTCCACTTTATCGCTGTCCATATTTCCAAATGGGAGATCAGGGAACAGTTTCTTTGGGCCTTTGATATCTACAAGGGAAACAAACCCACGAGCGAGCTTGAGAAAACTGCAACAGTTGTATTAAAATCTTAACGCTCTCACGCTTAAGACTACCACTACACACTGCCTGGTATCACTCCAAGATAATACGCCCCGCAAACCAGGGTAGCTGAATCAGACCTTAAATCCATACAGAACTTGCGATCTGCTGGATTTCGCATTATCTGTGCCTTTAAAGTTAAAAGAAGCAAGAACACCAGTTCAGCACAAGGACTCTAGATCACTCAAAGAGCCCAAAAATTCTTGGCAAAACAGTTTTGCAGTCAAAACGCCAGACCTGTCAAAACCAAATGATGTAGGAACATGCTAAATTCAATGAAGTTTTATACGTACGTAGCATTAGAAGAAGCATTGTTTTCTTTTTAAAAAGAGCTTATGTTCAACACATATTACTCTACTTTCTTATATGCAAACAAGACTCTTGCAGATACCAGTGTTCCTATTCACTGCCAAGGTGCAAAACCACAAAAGCCCAGTGGTGTGATCTGAACGGTAACAAGGATGCTTTGAAACACTGGAATTTGCTGCCAAAGGAAATAAACTTCTCCTCTAGCCATCTCGGCACAGAACAAGGACATGGGCATCAGAAAAAGCCCAGCATCCAGAGCTGCACAGGCAGGGCAAGATACCCTCAGAGCAGTGGAGCGTGGGCGAGAGAGAGAGAAGGATTTTCTCAGAAAGCTAATGCAGGCACTGACTTTTCAGGAACTTGCGGAGCTCTGGTTTCTCCTCCAGCCTGGTCTGGAGGTTGAGGAACTCCCGGTAACGGCGGTTCACGGTGTGGTAAGCCATTTGCTGAAGGCTGCCTGTGCTCTCGCTCTCCAAGGCTGTCTCATACTGAGGAGGAAGGCAACAGTCAATACCCCTTCCAGACCCCAAAACAATCCTGATGTGCTGTGGTCCCTGGCGGCCCCACAATCCCCAGACCCCACGGAGGTCCCATCCAGCAATTCCTGAGGTTGACCCTTCCCTGAAGAACAGCAGCTGCACAGCAGGCGAACCTCTCGCGATGAAGGAATTGGTGAAAACAGAATACAAGAGACTCAACCAGCCCCATGCGATCCTTGGCCAAGAGTGGGAACCCCTAACCCACACCTGAACGGCCACCGGAAAAGCCACTGTGCCCGCTATTCCCCCACCGCCAGACAAAATTCATTGTGATCAACACACATCTCCAAACACCAGCCCATGCTCCCCTGCCAGGACAGGGATCTCTGAAAAGGGGTGACCGCCGGATGACTCTTTACCTTGATGGTGTACAGGGTGTAGGGGTGGAAGCCAGTCCCGCTGTGCTCTCGGGCAGTGATAGTCCCAGTTATCCGCAGGTTCTGGATGACGACCGGCCCGTCAGGGCTGCTGAGAGGCTCAAAGCTGAAGGCGCTGATGGAAGCTGTTGGGGAGGATGAGAGCAGGGGCAGAGTCTGCCCAGGGTCTGGGGGGCTTTGTGGCGGGCCCTCTGCTGTCCCTAGATCTTTTCCCAAGCTGGAGGGCCTCTGCGAGGAGGACTTCTTGGGGACAGTTGGGCTTTCCTCTTCCTTCTCAACTGCCGGGTCGATCTGGATGTCAGGGCAGGAGCACGGCGCAGAAGCAGAGGTGGGAAACAGGCCAGCATCCGAGCTGGTGGCCACGCCCTCCTCCAGGTCCCCCACGCCATTCTCCGAAGCGGCCGGTCCCTCCAGCACAGCGGAGGTGTCTTGGAGGGGTTCATCGAGTAACTCCCCTGCAGGCGACGGTGCCAGCAGGTCTGTGTCCTGGCCTGCATCAAGCGCAGGGGACTCCAGCTCCAAACCCTCACAGGGGAAGAGGGAGCCAAGGGCTCGCGGGCAGAGGAAGGGCTCCTCCGTGTGACACAGCCCACTTGCCGGGTCCTCTCCCTCCTCACCAGCAGCCCCTGCCTCTCGCCTGGGCACCTCCGTGGCCCTCGGGGAAGGGGAAAGCCTGGCAGGGCCGGTGTCTGTCTGCACCGCAAAGGGCAAGAAATCGGGCACTGGGGGTGCAGGGGG